GGGGGGGGGTCCACATGAATACTGAGCTGGTTTCACTTATCTACAGTAGAAATCACAGAAAGGTGTCCTGTGCTTGTTTTTAAGTCGTCTAACTGCTACTCATCGTCTCCTCTGCTTCCCTCTGCCAAGCATCACAAGGCTTCGTCACACACTGCACAACTTATCTCAAAGCCATTTGTGTGCATAATGACAAATGGGCTAGATTGGCCAACAGTAAATACATGAATTTAAGTGAGACATTTCTCCACGACAAAAAGATTAGGTGCAGGGAACATGTCAAAATGAAACAGAAACAGCTAAAAAAATCTGAAAAGAGCTGTTTTAGAGTTAATTTTCTTCTTTGTTGGACCAGAGAGGCATCTTCACAGCTGGGTGTGGATTGGGTGTAACAACTCCCATGGTGGGTTCATCATTACAAATACAGAGGACATGATTGAGCTTCTTCTATTTTAGTGGAAAATCTAGTTTCAACCTGTATAAGATTACAATAAAACTATAACCTGTATTTCAGGAATGTGCCATTGTGATGGTGCAGAGGAACTACTGATATAAACAGATAAGTGATATATAACAACATTTGCATAGTTTTGGTTTTTTTAGAAGCTATGTAAGTAAGAATATTAAGACTGGTTTCCACTATAACCTATGAGATTAAAGTGTTATTTCAAAGTGATTTCTCTGTCTGTAGCAGGAAGAGGCAGACATCCTGGTCTTATTATTCAATCACGAAATTTGATCAAACCACCCTCATTGTGAAGGACACTGACATAACTATCAAGAGGGATTCTTAAGACAGTAAAGTGGTGACAGTTGATATGTTGACTTGCCCCATATTCAAAGCTCCAGAGGAGCAACAAGCAGGCTGGTTCTCGAGCTTCAGGCGCCACGCCACACTAAACTATTCTACTAATTACACAGAAGCTGAGGACATCATTCTTCTCGTGAAAATTACAAAGCAAAATAAAGACGTCTTTCAATTTCATTTCACAAATAAAATGATGCGCTTTAAATAACAGTGACCCATTTAAAGATTATTTTTAAAATGTCAACATGAATGTGACAGAGTTTATCAGATAAGGGGGCTGGAAGTGGCAGCAAAAGGACAAAAGAAATGATTCACAAAACCAAAGTGTTGTTGCTTTGGTTCATGAGGATCTTTGGTTTACTGTCGGAGGCTGGGGGGTGTGGATGGTACTTCACAGGAAGGTAACCATCTTTCAGCCCCACATCATGAGGGAGGATATGGGAACATGGATAGGATGAGAGAGACAGGATCTGATTCTGCCTTTTGGTTTTACACACACACACACACAAACTCTCACACTACTTTTTATTTTCCTAAATTACTAATTTGATTTCATGTCAGTGCAGTGACAAAAAGATTAAAAACAACTGTATTTGGTTTTCTTGTTTTTTTTTTGACAATCTAAGAAACAATGTAAAAGTGCAGAACCAAAAAACTACAGTTGATTTAGATTTGTTGCTTTCTTTGAATTGACTTTTTGAATGAAGTGAGGCTCCAGCTGGAACTCCTCAGGGCAAACGTGGACCTGTCTGTCCAAACCAAAAGACAAAGCTAACTAAGAAAATTGGACAACATTAACTCTGGTTTTAACAAAGTCTGGTATGCTGCATATTTACAGAAAAAAAGAAAATGAGATGGTGATGGTGTTGAATGAACCAAACCCTTTTACAGCATATTATTGTATAATGTAGAAAACAAAGACCTCAGTAGGTTCTCATGCATTCAGGCTGCAGATTCAAAATTGCATTTTTTTTCTCCAAGTTTAAAAAAAAAAAAAAACTTARMCTCAAAGTTTCACTTCATTTTAGACTTTAAAGTCTCTTTAGAAATTATACAAACAGGTCAACTTACTTTTACTTTCTAGATAATGTGAAACTCATTTTGAAATCCTTTTTTTTTTTTCTTAAAATGTGAATGAATTGAATTTGTGAAAAACATGTTTAAATAAATAGTTATTTTACATTTTCCTGTAAATGTTTCTTGTGTTTAATTTAATTTTGTTAAAGCTTTTATTAGTTCAGCAACTCTAAGCTAACGCTAACTTTAAGATAAATGAAAATAAATTGTAATTATAGAGAAATAAATAAATCCTTTTTGATGTTTGCTTCTTGAAGACTTGACCCATATGATTTACACACAAACATTTTATTATTCAAAAACTGAAAATACTAAGATGATATTTGGTTTGTGTTGTTTAGCTTTGCCCACACAAGCAATCTCTACACTACATGTGTTGTGTACATTTTGGTCTCTGCAGACAGGATGGCTTGTTCTCTCTGAATGAGCACCCCCCCACACTCACACACTCTTATACATACAATCCACCCCCCCTCCACTCCTGCTCTCCCTTGCGACTCTTCCCCCGTCCTGCTCCCTCTCTCGCTGACCTCCCACAAACCTCTCCAACCTGACACACATTTCAGTCGGCCTAATGACGAATATTATGACCATCTCCGAAATTTAAAACCCTTCCATCTCTATCTTACAGCAGGTCCCTGTGATACACCCACCCATAGCATGCACACCCAGGGGTCCGGCTCGAGTGGGGGGGTACCATGGACAGTAGCCTATAAGGGGTTCAACACTGATTCTTACGAAACAGAGAAAATTACCTCCCCGTACCCCCTCCCCCTAGACCCCATCCCTCAAATAAAGGGTTTAGTTCCCACTGAACAGCGGCCCCTCCCACACAAACACACACCTCCACTGGGATTCTATGACAAAGTAAACTGCACACACCACCCACTACTCCCAGCAGCAACTTAAACCCACTTTCAGAATTGGACACGACTGCAGTCAGATTTAAAGGTAAAGGTCAAAATGATATGAAACTGAAGCCACTCAAACAATTGTTACTATTAATTATCATCTTGCTTATTTAGTCTAAATTTACACCTTGTGAAAAACAATACATTTGTTGGCTCGGATTAACATTCAGAAATAGGCCGCTGTCGCGTCACAGAGGGGTTATTTTAAACATTTGTGAGGACTCAAACATTATGTACACATGTATGGGTACAGCAGTTGAACAGATGTTTGACATAAATATTTAAAGAATCATTTTGGGGCATCATTTTTCTCTTGTTAGCTCGATCACATCAACAGCCATTTTGAAAATGGGGCTTCAAAAATTTGTTTTCCACCAAATTTACCCAGTGCTTAGGCATTTGTTTTTTCAACATGAACAACTACTGGACCCTGCTTTGTTACTACAGGGCAAGTTGGGCAATGAGGAGACCCAGAGCTACGCACTACAGTGAAAGAAAAAGGGGAAAAAAACAGCAGCCTGTGCAGTGTTTCTGCCTCATTCAGAGCTTCGCCATTTTACCCTCACTGGCTGACGTGCAGTGACTCCTCTTTGCGTGGAGGCACCACGTGTTGTGGAACCACTGAAGGCCTTGGCTCGCCCATGTTGGCCCCTCATCTCACAAATCACCTTTATCATTATGGCTCTTCAAGGTTATCACACAGGAGGTCTGGGACACTGTGCACGACACACAGCACCATCAGAATAATTTACTGACCCGCTGAGAGATTATAAGAAATTACAGCCTGCTGCCATGTTGGTTCCCTAAGCATGACGAGTGACCTGTTTCTGCAGTTTGACATAAACTGTGAGATTCAGCCTCCCTGCGTAACCTCGGTCAGCTGATCAGTTCAATTCCATTTATTTGTATAGCGCCAAATCATAACATACATCATCTCAAGGCACTCAAAATAGTGTGGTCCAGACCAGATACAGAGAAATCCAACAGTTCCAACACACTGCTGACATTATTTTGCAACACAGTCATGCTGCAACATTTATGGCGAAGAGCAAGCACCCAAAACCAGCTCAATTTCAATATTCAGCCACATTCACAAAGAAATTTTCTAAATGCTGATTCACAAACAATGTTAGATTTCATTTGTGGCAGACAAGTAACCACTAGGCTGAAATCTATGAATACACACATGTGGCCAAACAGCAGAACATGGGAGAGCTGTGCTCACGGTTCATCTCATATCTGTGCCAAAGGTTACAGGCATGAAATATGGTCTATAGGCAAATTCCACGATATACAGTTTAATGCAGGTCAAGTCAGGCTCTTAAAACCGAGCAGCTGATCTGCTGTGGACCTCACTTTGCCAGTTTATCCCTGTAATTTGATCGAAAATAAACACACATGACTAAGCTTCAGTTATAATGTGTCTATTAAAAAGCTTCACAGTCACTATGTTTAATGGTGAAATATTTACTCTTATTCTATATTTTAAAAGAGAAAACATAAATACAACAATTACTGACTGCAGTTTTTTTTTTAATTTGGCTGTGTTTTTATGAGAAATGAGTTAGATTTAACTGGAGACTTATGGGAAGTGTGTTGAGCATTTTGAAATAATTTAATCTAATTAAAAATCACAGAAAACTTAGCCTTTGGAGTGGAAGTGCATTTTGAACCAGGGAAACCACACGTGAATTAACGTGAATCCCTCATAACGGATATGGATTAATTAGCAGAGACGATTGAAACCTGAAACACGTTCATGCACGAATTTGGAGTAATGGTCAAAAATGCGCACTGATATGGCGTCACGTGTGAAACTCGGAGTTTTAAAAGCCACGATGAAGCTGCTCCGTGACACATGTGAATTTCCCAGTGTATTTTTTTTAAATCCCGTTAATAAGCAGGGGAGGAAAGGGTTGGACCTGGGGCATGCTGTCACTGCTTCAGTTTCGCAGCAATGGCCGACAAAGTTGAAGCTCCCTACACAACCACGCCAACAAAACAACAACCCCTCCCGAAAAACTAGGGCCCGGACACAACTTTCCACAGTGGCTGCTGCGGACATGGCGTCTTCCTCGAGCCCCACTTAAAGCAAAGTAATGAGTGAAAGCGTGACAGCCACCAAGAGTCACACGAAAGAGAAAGGGGCCCCTGGAAGAGGTGATGCAACACATGAGAGAGGGGGGGGGGGGTGTACTGTTTAGTACCTTTGCTTCTTAGGGACGGAGTGCTCGACCTCGATGCGCTTCCCTTGAAGTTCCACTTTACCTGGAAGAAAAAAGGACGAGGTCACGATCAGCATGGGGCTACATGCTATACATGCTAACAGTCATGTATGTGAGGGGGGAGGGGGAGAGAGGGAGAGAGGTGGGGTATGTGGCTAAAGAAAATGGCACCTTACAGCCAACTTTACTTTTAGAGCTGCGACTGAGCGAGGAGGAAGTGTGTGAAGGGGTCAAGGGGAAGGGTGGAAGGTTCAAAGGGCCCAAAACACGACCTATGAGTCCTGGAGAGAACGAGTGGTCGTTACCCTGCCCCCCCCCCTACACACACTTGATCTAATGTAGGACCCACATCTACACTGATATTAATTTTAGCCTACAGCTGGCGGGTGGGTGTTTTACAAGATCTGTCCTGCGGCCCTGGGAGTATGGCTGCTCGTGTTCGTGAGGCTTCATGTGGACTGGAAGACGCTGACTGGCATGGCGACCTTGCCTCCTCCCGTTACAGTCACCCTACGTGGGAGATCATGAGGCATAAGCCACGGAGCTCAGGCGGCCTCTCGTCGATCGGTCACACGCCGAGGGGATGTCGGGGGGCCTGTTTGGATAAGTGGGCTACACAGGAGTTAAGATGTATTTTCTATCTTTGTCACAGTCGAGTTAAAGGGGGAGGAGAGGCAGCGAGGCTTCGTTCTACACCACAGGAGCCAGCGCGAGGCGTGCGACACATCAGAATGCCACTCACGTGCACGTTTTTAGCCAAAAAACCAGAAACAGCACGAGCGTGAATTCGTGGAGCTGCCATTAGAAACGAAAGAGCACTCTTCATTGGGATCGGTATTGTGAAGTGCAGCACAGCGCTCACACTCCTCCGCGTAGCTTTACGTTTACGCTACTCCTGTCCCTCCCCCTTGCAAAAGTTGAATGGCTCCCCTGGGGACGTCGCTCTCCGCACACCACAATTCACTCAGTCGATAAAAATCATTACGATCATCATTCTGCATGTTCGTGAAGAAGCCCGGAGTTGGACGTGGGGCTAAACCGGAGCAAGCCGCTCAAGGGTGGGTACGAAGCCCGGGCTGAACACCGGCCGTGTACCGCTCCCCGTGCCGAATGAATGAAACTAAGGATGGAGAGAGTAGCGGGGTGTCGTCTATTGTCACTAGTCCACCTGAACTCACCAGAAAACGTCTCGATCGCCTTCATGGCCCACTGGTCGTCCGGACAGTCCACAAACGCGTAGCCGGTTTTCATGAGGAACTGTCCGGAGTATGGGATCTTGTGCTCATCGAAGGTTTTCCCCAAGTCCTCGGCGGTCACGCTGTCGCTTAGATTCCCAATGTACAGCTTGTGCATGGTGGAAACTGTTCGTGTCCCAAGTCCAAAAGAAAAAAAGAAAACTCAGAAAAGGACAAACCCGGGGAGAAGTCAAATCGAAGCCAGGAGGAGGAGAGAAAAAAAAGTTCTCTATTTAGCGCAACAAGACAGTGTCACACTTGCCACACTGACTGAAAGTGGAAATCACGCTGGGTCGCTTTACAGAAAAAGACTAAAATAAATGCAACCAAAAAAGAGAGAGGAGGAGGAGGAGGGGGGGAGGCAAATACTAATTCTCGACAGCAAACTACAAATGAGATTTTGAAAAGTGTTTAAAAAAAAAAAAAGAGAAAGCAGATGGTTCGGAACCGAGCTTGTAAATCCAGAAACAAGTGGAGCGGGAGAAGAAGTGGAATCCTCTGACTTGCAGCCCCAGCAGACGAATAACAGCAGCAGCCTATGGGCTCTGTACCGCACTGTGCAGGAGGTGGGTTGGATGATGGTCTACGGTGGAAGAGTGGGGGGAAACTGTGGCAGGATCGAGCCCGGAGAAAACGCCCCCCCGCCACCCCGCCCCACTCTCTCTCTCTCTCTCTCTCTCTCTCTCTCCGGTGACGCCGCCCCTCCGCCGACTCCAATTCACGTTTTCTCTCTCTCTCTCTCTCTCTTTTTGTTTGCAAAGAGGAAACCACGTGGTGCGTTTGGAGTAGGTTGGAGCGATGAGGAAGGGGAGGGGTCCTCTCCAATCTTATCCCGGGGTATTCACCAGATGAGCGCGTGCGTAGTCTACATGCGACCCACCCCCCCTCCTCCGCCTCCTCTCTCAGTTCTGCGCTGTGCTCGCCCCCCCCCCGACTCCGTACTGTACGCGTGCACGGCGCGGGGGGCCTTTTTACGCAACATGACGCACAGGCGGACAACACATGCGCTCTGATGCGGAGATTACAGGCAACGTAGAGAGACGTGACTTCTAACGCTGCAGAGTAATGTGATCTAACCACTCCGCCGTCATGTCACAGGGTCTTCTTCACTACCCGAGCACCGCCTCCCTGTTCTGTGGCCCTGCACTCAGGCCCCCGCCCTCCCAGTGAATGTGACATGAATACGGTCAACTTGTCATGACCTTACGTAAATGACCTATGGTGAACCCCGGACAGAAAGTCCAGGGCTCACTGTATTTATCTCTCCACTCACTCCGGTACACTGTTATCTCCGCCCGGAGCCTCATCCACTGCAACTAACGCACCAGATATGGCGGCGATGACAGCACCCGGTGCAGGCTGGTGAAGAGGAGGCGGGCGGGGGTCTCTGTGGCTCATTTTGGCTATTCAACCGCACCGCCCCCTCTGCTCCACAGGCACTTTTGAAACATGGCTACGGTTACCGCTGGCTCACTGAGGTCATGGCTTCCAACACATGACTTAGCATACAACTTCCGCCTGCTCCATTTTGCCGCACTCCTGCAAAGTGGCGCAGTCGCCCGGGCAACAGCACCGCGCACACAGCGTGGAAGACGGCTTCTCAAAATGGAGGCGCAGAGGCCTGCCTCTCCCCCTGCGCACTCAAACACACACACACACACACTGGCGCTCTGTGTGTTGCACGTCTCCCGCTCGCCTGTGTTGCCTCCACGTCTCTCGGATCCAGGGCTGGCGTTTAAAACACTCCGTCCTCCACGACAGGCGCCTTCTAGACTCAAGGCACAACTGCACAGGCCAGGAGGCGACGCGTGCGCTCGCCTGGTTAGAAAATGGCTTCTATCCACAAAATGGATCCAAACCCTGGAAGTTGTCGGACAGCGGCCTAACTGTTGCCTCGCCATGGCTTCATACACACGAGGGCAATTTAAAAATAAAAACATAACAGTGTTTTTTTTCCTCAGTGGCATATATGAATAAACAGGCTGCTGTGTCCATATGTGGTGGTAATACCGTTAGATCATGAAATGATGTCACGTTCTCTATCTATTGTGCGAAGGGGAACTTTACTGTATGTACATGTGTAAGCTTATTTAAAATATTTTCAAGCAATGAATACATTTGTCTAATTCAGCATATATGTAAATGTTGTATTAGTCCTGGAGCTACATGGAAGTAAAAGTATCATATATTATTTTTAAATGAATGATAATAATCATGTAACGTTAAGACACATCCAAGCCAGGGACATATCTTTATTGGATTTAACAGCCTGAAGTGCTGTGTGAAGTGGAAGAATATGGAGTAGAGCTATTAGTGTGATTATGTAGTAATCGCAGCTTCAAGAGCATTTCTGATTATTTATTGGTAAAGTAATAACACATCCCTGGAACAGGCCTCCAGTCAAAGTCCAGTGGATTTCGATTCTCTGTCCATAGCTCTCATGTCGCTCTGTCTTTTTCTTTGGGAACATACAGGTGGAGTTTCTCTCTCCTGGTGGCTTGAACTCCAAACACATGGGTCACATGGGAGCTGGTCAGGTCACAGGCTTCCACAGGTCAAATTACCACCAATAACATGCAACATATTTTGAGGCTAATGAATGTAAGCTCACAGTGAGTGTGACCTGTTATATCAGTGCAAAAAAAATATGTTCCATTCACACAGTGATTAAGATTAAAACTATGCAGTAAAAACAGGAATTCTATAGCTAATTGCTTATCTATTATAATACATCCTCAGTGTTTTTATATCCCAGGAAAACCATGTTCTTAATTAACATAATGAACAAATGGACATTATTCTAATTTGTTATACACGTTTCCCTTTTCAGACTTAAGGTTTTCCTGAAAGAAATCTATCCAATAATCCTCCCAAAAACAATATTATTGTGTTTTTTTTTCCATTTGCAGAACACCCTCAATAATGCATGAGCATTATTCTAAATTAAACTGTGTTGTCATTGCCCTGCAGCAGAACTCCAATACGTTAGAATGTAAATTCAGACACTGCTGTTGTCCTTGGACGCCAGGGCAGACTACCAACTAAAGTAAAAGCTGTCTTTTCTCTTTTTTTCATTATTATGTGTCTGTTGAAAACCATGGTTTCTCCAAAATACCAGTGGTGGACAGTCTTTTTGTGTCAGTTAGTGGGAGACATAAGAATCAGCAAATACAAACTGCAACAGGTGCATCGGGCTTGGATTCATGGCTTGATGGTTAGAACTGTTACAACATTTTGCCTCTGGCGACATAAAGGTGATTTAGTGTGCATTTCCTCAAGTGGGGCTATATTGTCATAACTTCTACTAAAAGTTGACAATCCAAATATTCAATATATGTATCATCATAGTATATTATATACAATGTGGGCTTGTGTTCTCAAGTCTTAATATATAAAATAACTAGTTGGTACATTTTAAAAACAAATGGCGATCCTCAAGTAAAGTACATATAAGATCTGTCCTTATAGTTACAGTACTTGAGTAACTGTACTTCCATAACTGCACATAAAACCCTCCTCTACACCTCGGAGGGAGAATAATCAGGAAATACATTTTGTTCTCTTGCACCTTAAACACTGCCATCAACAGCATCACGAGACACAGTCAACAGTCTTCCTGGTATGTGTGTGTCTGTGTGTGTATTGGGGGAGGGGTGGTTAGGTGGAGGTCAAAGGCTGAGGAGGAGAAACAGGGTGAACTGGGTGGGAATGCAGGAGGAGAGACAAACTGCCACGGGGAGACGCAAAAGAAGTAATGTTCGGCTCTTCTACTCTCTCTCTCTTTCTCTCTTCCCCTCCTTTCTTCTTTTATATCACTTTGTTGTCTCTTTGAAATGCTGTGCATGTGACGATGACTTTTTGTGCATGTGAAGTGACTCTGTTACAGATAAAATCTTTGATTTCTAAAGAAACACTATACAAGTATATTAATACCAAAACGAAGAAGTACTTGCTGTGCAGAATTGCTTATGTCAGAATGATACATGTTAGGACGCATTCGTAGATTTTTCTACTTTTCTCTGTCCCCCAGCACAAAAAATAATTTAATAACATCATCTTTCTTTGCTGAGTATTGTTTAATAATAAAAATGAATCTGCAACTTGAGTTATAAAATATAGCGTGGTGGAGTAAAACGTGGCCCTGCAGCCTAAATAACCATATTGTTCTATCTGTATACACTGTGATATAACCTGCAGGAGCTTTTCTTGAAATCGCTCCCAGCAGGGGAATTGCCACAGGTACAATCACCAACTGAACCGGTTTTGTGTGACAACAATGTGGTTGGAGATTGGTTGGGCTTCAGCACAAAAACAATTTGGTTAGGTTTGGGAATGAGAACAAAATAACTACTTTGTTGAGGCTAGAATAGTGTCGTCTTCGCGGTTACAGTAAGGCCATCGATCGCGGTGTCAGACACAAAGTTGAGTGAGGTCCAGTGTTTTGTGTTTTCCCTGTGCACAGACTTTATTGCTACTTAACAACATCCCCTGACCTCCTCTTTTACTCCCATCATAATTAGCTTGGTCAAAAGGGGACTTTGTCTCTTTGAAGGGTTAGATGTTGTTTCGAGACATTTGAAAGACAGATGCTGCCTCACAAGACTGCTGATGTCTCACATGGCCAGACACTTCATGCAAGTAACCAAGGGTTAACACAGAATGTTTTTTATGGGACTGTCTCTGTGCAGTATTTCCAGCTGAAAATGGACAGAGGGAGAGAGAGAGAGAGGATACAGCTACACTGTCGTCCAACCAGATGTTGAAGATGGACTCACAGTTCGAGTCGTTGCTATTTAGCGGCCTGAGAAACAGTATAGATGTATATACTTGTTTGCTCGATTCCCATCCTGAGTGCATCCTCCTGTCTGCATGTTGAATAGGCGTAATAAAATCACATGTTTGTGTCTCACAGAGCTGAGCCCCCAGGGAAATGTAGTCTAAGCCCAAAAGACATTCAAACATTCAAAGCATTCCTGTTATGTGAAGCTCATAAGTGAAAGATTAGAGCAGTTGCATTTTATTATGAAAACGTAAAGACGAGTTAAATCTACCTCTGAAGTCAACGGTGAACCCAGAGGTCATTTATCTCTACGTGTTTATAAAGCTTTTTAGTGTAAGACTGGAAATATTCAGTATTCTTTGTTAACGTTGACAAATCCCACATAAAGTTCTAAAGCAATAATAAGGGTGATTGTGTGTGTGTGTGTATGTGTGTGAAACATCCTGATTGCCTTGCACGGTGGAGCTCCATCATTGTCCAAAAACAGTTCAGATCACCTTGATGAGCCACACTGTTGCTTTGTGTGACACTTCTTAATTGCATACACACAGACAGACCGACACACAGCGTCCTACCGTCCCGAACCACAGCATCAAATGTGGAGTCACCAAGTCCACCTTTCGCTCCTTTTTTCTTTGTTTCTTCAAAAAATACAGTGGTGACTGTTTTTTGTAAGAAAAGAAAATGTAATTGTTAGTTAGGTGATTTGTCTGCAGTAGGAATCAATGGACTTGTTCACTAGTTGTGAAGCTTGTCAGTACAGAGCGACAGATGTTCATTATATTTTTTCAGAATTGTTAAAAGTAAGAAAATCATAGAATAAATGCCAGACTTATCCTTTAATTTAGAAAAAGTGTCAGGTGACAGAACA